AAAATCAGTTATCTTGTCTATATGATGGCATGGAGCTCCTTACCTATTATCACGGGGCTCTATGAGCACATGTAGATCCCCTTGAAGCCAGAACGAGAAGGTGGTAACCGGCATAATCAGGTTTTCCAATTTATGGGCCCATCCCTTTCTGCGAGATTCAGGGGGTAATATTTCCCGATAAACGAGAGTTCCAAATCCATCCGAATCGGGGTCACGCCCTAGGCTCTGAGCAAAAATACCATCACAAATCTATTAACGTGAATAAGATATAAATAATGATGGGACTTAGGATGGCTGCTTACTTCAAAATGGCCGCGGTCTTGCAGGGATATATTCTCTTTCCACGTTGCGAAATAGTTCATATCCTCCAGGGCCTCTTTCTTCTTGTCATTGAACCTCTTCGCTCTTTTGACAATGCTTATTCCTTTATCGCGTACGAGACAACCGTCAATTGCTAGGTCGATACGAAGCTGAAGTTCGGTTGAACCATCGACAAGTTGCTTGATGCGTTTACACAACTGTGAACAAGCCTCTTGTGAGTGACATTATTCGACATAAATGTAGATTTAACGCTTTAATGCGCGTCATATGCTTACTCGACGACATTTTGCGACCTCCAACGGATGAAGCTCGAAGCAAATTTGCTCCAAGAGTTCATTCGGCAAGCTAAGAAGTGACTCTGTTTGTTCAAGGAGCTTGAAAATTGAAGTCGCTGGTTTTAGAGGTGATGCTTCATCACGTGTGTCTGGTGTAAGCGATGGTGAACCCTTGTTCACCACCTGCGCTGGGTCTAGCCATAATCCGGCTTCCATTTCCCTTCGTTGAGAATTCCTAGAGAGGGCCTCTCTTTCGATTTCGGAGACTTGCATGGTTCCGGCACGGTGCTGGGGAGGTACAGAACCTGAAGCTTTTAAATAGACACAGTTTGTGGTTTTAAGTGGCTTCTAGCTCCACGTATGCGTACACGTTGAGTCGAAAGAGGACTAAATCAGCGCAGCTGTTTCTAAACCTATATGCATTCTAACTATAGAGTACTCTCTGAAGGTGCATTAAGAGTAGCTAGCGGTTCCTTCCACAGAAATCCGTCTTACATTAGAGACAGATGAGAAGTATACATGGGGCCTATCAGTTCAGACGACCTCCTCGTATGCAATACAATATTACATACTACAGAGAAGTCTGTTTATGATATTCTAGTAGGCCGATAAGTTTATATCCTCCAATGCCTCGTCAATCTTGTCAGTCGCATCGTCTTGTAGGGGGAGAAAAGAATAAAATCCATATTCCTTGTACTAAAGCGTTGAAATTAGTACGGTTAAGAAGCACTCTAACAGGGCTACAATCAAGGCTACTTACTCCTCGGCCCATGATAGTACTCCCGTCGAAACGAAAGTAAGAATGCCGTGGAAGCCACGAAGTAACAAAGGCTCGGTACGGTAAGCTTGACGTGACAGTAAATTGCCCGTGTGGATCTACCCATAATGTCTCCTGATCAACCACCAATACATGATATCTCTCTTCGATGGTCGTGACGGCCCCTTTCCGAATCGGTCGCGGGTTGAAGTCCAGGAGTAAAAGATTGAGGTCATCGTAAGACCTGGGATCTATAGCATTGGCCCTTCCCCAAGTAAGCATTCGGGACCCAAATATATTGGGGTTCCCTGCATGATTGATATCGTAATAAGGTAGCCATCTCGTCGTAGATGGTCCCCATTCTTCCCAGTCGAACACTTCCCGATCGGGATACTTCTCCAAAAGGGATTGATAAGTCCTCGTGAAGGCATCCACGGAAAGCACCACACAGCAGTAGCTACGATCCCCCGGCTTCAGGTGAAAACTGATACCTAGGATATTGACTATTGGATCGGGCATGACCATTTTTGCCATGGAGGAGGGGCATTTCTCCCCAAAACGGGATTCGGGTCTTGTCAGGAAGAACGCTATGTAAGGTAAATAAGCGAATGGGAATCTACATCGACAGACGATGCGCTTCAAGGGTACAGAGTAGACGCCGAGCGTGACCTTGTCCTCTTCATCCTCCCCGTTGAACAAAAGCAGCACCTCGTCCCTGGACAAGAAGGCAAGGTCTGCAATGGGCATATAATCCTAGTCATATTGAATTTTAGCTGTCTTATTAGAAATTATTAAAGAGGGCGTACCATGCTTATCACTCCTTCAAAGCAGTCCAATACTAATCCAGCGGCACGACGAACATCGTCTTGTGTATCTGTAAAGTGAAACACAACACGGTCCTCAAATGCAACGGTGTTACACTTTTCCCATACGGGACAGTCGGACTGATATAGATCGAGATAAGGAGATTTGGCTTCGGGGTGTATGGCATTTGTAGAAATTGTACGGAAATGGATTCGACGGGTCGTACTAGGTCATTTAATCAACTCGAGATCACTTTTGTTATATCCATTCACTCACTTATCGTCTCGAGGTTCCATCAACATTTGTAAATCAGCATGTGCCCAGAAGGAAAAGTCTGTAATCTCCATCCCTAAATCTTCCCATTCCTTCTTCCAGGGGTTATTCTTTTGTCGTGGAGAGACGATTTCCTGGTAGCGAACACTTCTGAATGTCCTCCTCTCTTCATTGATATCAACACTTTCGGCCAAAATGCCGTCACAAACCTAGAGCCCAGCAAGCGATTGGTAAGTTCGATGCATTGGACAACCCTGCACTGACCTCGAACTGGCCAGTTATTTCGGACTTCGATGTCCAACTATCGGAATAGTTCATTTGCTCCATGTGTTCTCGCCTCCTCTTCTGGTAATCTATAATGTCTTTTGATGGTCCCGTGCCCCGGTAGGCAAGTAGCCACCCATCAATAACCAGTGTAATGCGTAGCTGGAGTTCAATTGAGCCATCAATAACGTTGCGAAGATGTTTACAGATCTAAGCAAGGCAGATTCATAAGTACGTGGGGCGAAACTATAGTTCAAGTTGCCAATGCGCCTACCTCGCGACATTTGACAACATCCCGGGGGTGTATTTCGAAGAAGATATGTTCAATTATTTCGGCAGGTAGCAGATTTATTGAGGCCATGCGATATACAGCGTGTTATAGTTTGTGATGGCGAGGGTCAAATCACAAGCAGGAGTTACCAAGTCCAGGCTAGCACCACCGGCTTGCGCTAGCACACAAAGAACGAACATCACCGCGTTATTGATAGCAAATTGTAATTTTGTACAATAAAATGTGGCATATATACAAGACGATGAGATGACGAGGAACACATATATTCCTATAAATTCGTATCTGTACTAACTTCGAGTTAGAGGACAGGCGTCGTGGCCTCTAATTTCATTTCTTCGACATCTTCACCTAATGTATCGAGAGCTC